TTTCAAGTCTGAAATTCTTGCTCCTGCCCTGCCAAACTAATTACTTCAGTTTGTCTTGTTTGGACTTTAAGTTACAATTTGCGTTTACGCTGTTTTGGACTGAATTTTCTGCAGTCAAAGGCTGTTCCTGGGAGAGTTTTTCTCCAGCCAGAAGGTAACCTGGACACTGGGGGCAAAGTTGGAGCTAATAAAGGGACTCCTACTGATTATCTGACTGTGTTGCCTTTGTGCCACGCCCCTTTGGGTCATCACACCTGCCTTGCCGACCTTTTTCTTCTGCAGCTGGCAAGGCTTTCCTGAAGGCCTCTGCAGCCAATAATAGAACTCCAGATCATGCGGAGCTCTGTTATCGGCTTCAGAGGCCTTCAGGAAAGCCTTGCTGGCCTTGACAGCCACGGAAGAAGTTTTCAAAGGCCTCTGACAGCGAAAAGGAGGCTGGGAGCAACACACACACGTCAGTGAAGACAGTGGATGACTTCCCCCGAAAATAAGACCTGGTGCCTTTGTGGTGGCAAAAAAATATATAAGATAGGGTCTTATTTTCAGAGAAACACGGGTATATTGTGGTTTACATAGAACAGTGTGAGCAATCTTGGAATAAAACCGAACTTTTATTTTGTTTTTGTTAAATTAGCCACAGCAGACTCTCTGGCTAAGGCTGAGTCTGGCTAAGGATGGTACTCTCAATCTTATTCAAAAGTATTATGTAAAACCCTTGATTGACTACTATCTTACTGAATGTGGAAGTCACTGTCCAGAGGCCTACTTGACAACTACGTCATATGGAAAGTTGCCATTTTGAATGTAAGGTGCTTTTGACAAGTCATTCAGTCCAATTCTCCAGTGGGCATCATTTCATCAGGATTGTCCAAGTAACCACCTTGTTTGGGTTCTGTGAGCTCATGCTTACCTATCTAGCCGTTTTACCTTTTGTTTGCCTCTTTTATTGCCTTTAGGTTTTCCAATTCTCAAACCCTGATTCTTGCCTTGCATTGTGTTTCCAAACTATCTAGTCTTTAACTTTATTAGTGGTGCTTCCAGTGAGCAACTTGATTTTGTTTCATCTGCTATTGAATCATTTGTTCTTCTGCTCCTTGGTCTTCTCAATAATCACAATCTAGAGGCATTATTATTTTTTCTTTATTCAGCTTGTTTTTACATCTAATGTCTACAGACACACAGCTGTGGAAACAGGCCTCTAACAATGTGGAAGTGTGATGTCTCTGCACTTCATTATTTCTTGTAGTTCTGTTATAAACTTTTTCCCAGGGAGCAGGTGTCTGCTTGAATTGAATTGAATACTTTACTTGGCCCAGTGCGATTAGACACACAAGGAATTGGTCTCTGGTACAGAAGCTCTCGGTGCTTCGTGTATATAGTCACCACCTGTCAGTCCAGGAGGCTTTAGGTGTGGCCAACCAATGCAGAGTAAAGAAGAGGCATGATGCCACTTGAAACACGAATCCATAAACATTAAAAACCTGGTAGCAAAGACGAGCTTCCACATGCAGCCCCTTATTTAAACCCTCTTCTGCACCCCATCCCAGCACATGGGGGGGAAATGTCATAAACTCGTGTCAGTTTTGGGCTAGCAGTGCGTATCTTCACGCTCCACTGCTCAGTAATCTCTCCTTTTTTTTTTTCTGTGTATAACAACTGGCTTACCAGCCTGTAGCTACCTGAGCCTCTATTCCTCCTTTTTTGAATTGGAACCTATGCATTGGAATGATGCATGTGGGGAGAGAGGGAGGGAGGGAGGGAGAGATGATAACCCAAAGAGTATTTCAGACAGCTTTGATTAGGGAGATTAATGAAACAATAAAACTTACGATTGGACAGGTCCTTCTGGAGAAGCCATCCAGATCCACCACCTGACCCGTCAGAACATGGCCGAAATGCAGGGCAGTGGGCAGCGGGACTGGACTCACTCCTCAGCTGAGCTGTTGGAACTTGCTTATCACGAGGCGGCTGGCCGGTAAGGGGAACTCAGTGGTCGCCCTGCCATAACAAGACCATCATCCCACTCAGGAAAAATTGTTCGGAAACCTTTTACACGGATAGGATGTTTATAGCTTGGAGTTGAACCGTGGGGTCCTTTGTACTCTCTGAGCTTGGCTATTTGCTTAGAAATGTTTCATTACCCAACTAGGTAATAACATCAGTGCCTTCATCCTTGCACTGGTGACATTATCTAGCTGGGTCATGAAACACCTGGAAGAAAACAAGCTCAGAGAACACCAAGGAACCCACAAAAACATCTGTTCCTGTCATTTGATTTCCGTTTTAGCCTGCTACTTCCATTTCTCATTTTTCTTACATGTGCCCAATGAGGTGATTTTTTTTAAATTGCCTTTTGATTTTTTTTCCTCGGCATGGAGAACCTTCATGGTGACAACTGAATAGATCATGGATGGAAAGGATGTTTCACATCCGTTTTAAAAGCACAATGCAGATGGGCCACGTTGCCTCCTCTCCTTCAGTTGACTGTCAAGACGCTTGCTGAGCTCCTGTGGCTCTTGCTTTTGCTGAGCTCCCTTAGGGAGGGGATGGAGTTGGGGGTCTGGCCCCAAGCAGAGATGCCTTGGTCTAAGGTGGGTCTCTTTTTCCTTCCCTCCAGGCATGGCCTTTCTAGGCAGTCAGAGGACAGCACTTCCTGCTTGAGCTTCAGAGACCTGAAAGATTATCCAAACCAGCTGGCGGGCAGCCAAGGTCCAGGTAAACAAGCCAAACCTTTCTGGCTGAGGTGGGGGTTGCTTCTCCAGCTGGCCTGACTCTCACCCACAAAACCCACCTGGCTTTGGATGCCTTAAGGTAGCCAGGAAGAGCTGATCCCATGAACCATTTTAGCCATTTTCCTGCTGCTAGGATTTCATGGGCGCTCAAAACTGAATGGCTGCTGGAGTTTTGGCAACTTGAACAGAACAAGAAGAGTTGGAAAGGGCACTGGAGGTCTTCTAGTCCAAGGCCAGCCCTCCCAGAGTTAATTATTCTCACTGTTAGGAAATTTCTCCTCCGTTCTAGGTTGCTTATGTCCTCGGTTAGCTCCCATCCATTGCTTCTTGTCTTGTCTTCTGGTGCTTTGGAAAATGGGTTGAAAACCCCGCCCCCCTCTTCTTTGGGGCAGCCCCTCAAATACTGGAATACTGCTATCACGTCATCCCTAGCCCTTCTTTTCACTAGACTAAACATACCCAATTCCTACAACCTTTCTTCATATGTTTTAGCCTTCAGGCTCCTAATCTTTCTTGCTCTTTCCAAAGTCTCAACATTTTTATAATGTGGTGACTCAAACTGGATGCAGTATTCTAAGTGACGTCTTACTAAGGCTTTATAAAATGCTACTAGTACTTCACGTGAGCTTGATTCTATCCCTTTGCTAATGCAACCCAGAACAAGATAGTGGTCTGTTCTCCTGTCGCAGCCAAGTTCCTTCTGTGTTGCCTTTGTCCGTGTGGGAGGTGATGTTCCTGGGATGGGAGAGAGACTGGAGCAAGAGAAACCTCCTTTGGGTTGGTGGCTGAGAAGCGTGTAACCCCCTTGTTGATTAGAATCCTCACAGAATCCTTTACAGCATAAAAATAATAATAAAGCCAAGCTGTAGCTTGTAGATTTTAAAAGCAGGTCAGCACTGAGGCAAATCAAGGGATGGATTTTCTGCGTGTCGTATTATTTGTTCGACTTGTGTGTGATCCTTCGGAATCCGATGCAGTTCCTTGAAAGCTCTCTGTATCCCCTTCCCTTTCAGCAAAGGCAGGAATGAATGCCCACCCACCCAACAAGGACCCGCTGGATGGCTCACCAGATCCAAGTAAGCACAGGGGGGGCGGGTGGGGGAGAGAAGGTTAGCATGCCTAGCGCCCAGTGAGTTGGAGAGCTTTGACCTGTGGAGGTCTCTCACACGGAACTCCTTCCCAGATGCCCCAGGAGGCAGACCGGTTGTCTCCCCCTCTGTCTGGTAGGGCCAATTTGGGGTTTGGCGGTCCCAGTTCCGGCTGCTGGAAAATGTACCCATGCGCCATGTATCCATCCTCAAAAATGCTGCCTTCTGAGATCAGAACAGATAAAAAAACGAAAGCAAGGAGCGAGCAAGCCTTTGCTGGATGGGTTCTTTAGGTTTTGGGCTTGTGGTTTTTGTCAACATTGCTGCCGTCAGGATGGCAAGAGCAGCTAAGAAAGCTTCTGATTCCAGCAGATCTTCTGGACTCAGTAAGGAACACCCAGCAGGAGATAAAGAGAAAAGGGACCTCTCTCCTCAAAGGGTTAACAGCCTTTGCCTCAAAGCTCCCAAGGAAGCTGAGTGTCAGTTAGGCAGCAATAAGGCACAGAATGCAAATTCTTACTTTAAAGAAATGGTGCAAATAATGGAAAAGCCCATTTTTAAGCTGCTTTGTGCATCCTGGCCGAGAGGGAAAGCTTCCTCCAGAGGTTTCTGCTCTGAGGCAGCCAGAACAGATTTCGAACTTTGATTTGGCTTATCATCGATGTGCAGAATTACAGCGACGGGCTTCTGGGTCCCATGTGAGTGATTCCTTCAGGAATCTTCCCCGGGGAAACTGCCCTGGGAAGCATCCTAGATGGGCCACCTTAGGCCAGCGATCCAATGAAACCCCAAGGAAATGACCCCTAAGCAGGTGAGCTTGGATGCTTTTTCACCCCCCCTGGGCTGTCAGACTCTGAAACAGCCCCACAAGCCAGAAAGTAGATTGCCTCTCCCTCCTCTTACGAAAGAAGGGAAGAGGAGCATCCAATCTCAAGCACGGCTGTGCGGGATCACAGGGGCATCGAGTCCCCTCTGGGCACCCCAGGAATGACCAGCTGGAAGGAGACGGCTAGCAAGCGTGGAAATGGCTGATTTGGGGGAGGCGTCTTCCCGCCAAGGTCCTTCTTGAAACCAAAGGAGATGCTTTAAATTGGTATCGAAATGTTATTTGTGTGCATGTGTCTGTTCAATATATCTGCATCCCAACAACCTGGATTGAAATGAATGAGAAGTGCTAGGAATGAAATGAAGTATTAGACTCTTGAGCTGAGCTTTGGGGTCTTGGTGGATCAGCACTGGGATGTAACCGAGGCCCCCGTTTCCGTCTCTCTTTCCTGGAGCTGAGCAGGAGGAACGCTTCCAGGCCAGAGGCTTCTGGAAACCTCCCCCCTCCCCACCATCCTTCCTGCCCCCCAGCCCACCCTCCTATCCTCTCTAGGGCACCTTCCTGCCTCGAAGACCCTTTTTTCAGAGTCCAATCCCTTGGGCCTTTTTCGTTGCTCTCCCTTTAAGGCCACCCCGTCCCAGTTTACGCAGGAGTGTTTGACGGGGGGCTCTTCGCCAACGGAGGTATGAAAAATCTCAGGATCTAGTGCTGATCGGGTGACTTCCAAGGAACCCCGAAAGGTCCCGGGGACAGATCCCCCTCAGCCAAAGCCCACTGGGGGTTCCTTCTGCCCCGAGAGTTGCGCAGAAGGGGGGTGGGTGCCCTCTGCGCCGTGGACCTAGGAAGAGCTGGGGGGCGGTGGGTGGCCGGGTCCCATTCGGAGGGGAGTGACGGTGGCTCTGCTCTCGCGGGGGTCTCCTTTGGGGGCGGTTAGGGCAAGTCCAGCCAGACCACTTCCCCC